TAAGGACACGTGAAGATCGTCATTTAAAATTTCGGACTGATCTACATTTTTGATGAGTATAAATGGTTTGCACCATATAATTTTAATTCTACACACTAATCATGACAATCATACATTTATTCATTTTCTAAGCAAATGTGTCTTTATTACTTTTAATAGTGCAAATAATATTTATGAATTTTGCATAGCAAATATTCATTACATATAGCGATCTAATAAGCTGGATAATTCACATTCCTCTTCATAAAATAGCTTCCTATCATCAGTTACAACAGACATCCCAAAATCAATGATATAAATTTCACCTTTTTCATTAATCAAAATATTTTCTTGGCGGATATCATTGTGAAGAATATTATAACTATGAATAGACTTTAAAGCCTCCAAAGCTCTATACTTTTGGTTACAATTTACCTTATGCTTGTTCAAAGTAGTACCAACGATAGTGGTACCCATAAAATAGCCCATCCCATATCCATAATAACCGTGACACACCAATTTGGGAATATATATTCCTTGAATTTTGACAAGATTTTTGTATATTTCAATTTCTTTTCGAATTTTATGCAAGAGATCAGCTTCCTTATATAGATCGATAACCTTCATAGCAATTGACTCTCCATGGAATCTGGCTCGAAATGTCCTCCCAGTTTGTCCACATCCTAGAATACCCTCAAGCTTGAAATCCTTGTAGCCATAAGTCTGTTCTTCCATTCCCGTTATAGAATCTTGATCTCCAGAGCTCTGGTCCCTGGAACCTTGCTGGTTGTGATAACTGCTATCTGAACCCAAACTTTGACTGAAACTTTGGTTATAGAAACCCGAGTTTTGAATTCTGGAACCTTGTATTCTGATATCTTGTCTAGTTCGTCCTGGCATTACATTTGGATGAGGTGATTTAGGGTTATTTGTTGCCAGGCGGACCAAGTACGCATAAGTTTTGAGTACTGGCGGATTTGTTGACTGTAACCTAAGAGCTTCAGAAATTAATAGTGTTGATGGATTATCACTTGGACGGCAGAAAAACCAATGGTAATCATAGGTTGCGAGTATGCCGTATTGTAATTCGTCCGCGACCATATAATTGTAAATCTGACGAATTACGTTACCCAAATCGCCATGTGCATGACCAGTAGAGTGTTCATCAAATAATTCACTTGAACTAATCTCATGTAACTGTGTCAGAACACAATCTCTTTTGATTTCTATGCTTATGATCCTTTTTCCTGTATGATCATCAGGACCATCATACTCTCGGCAAGTGAAATCTGGTTTTCCAAGGCCAATATTCGGGTCATCGGGATTAAAGTCAGAATCTTTTTGTTTCGAAAACTCAAATTTGGGGGACAAAGGCGAGTTCAATATATGAAAAATATTAACTTCCATAGCAGTTTCAACACTGTTTTCAACACGAGCTCTTAAACCTTCAACGAATTGGGGCCTGCTGAACTTTCGCTCTGTTTGATCGAAGATGAAACGAGTTACTTCTTCAAGAAATCCATTCCAGTGAATTATTCTTTCTGGCCAGAGACCTCCATTACGCGTAGAACGTGTCGAAGTACTAGTTTCAGTGTTTATTTCATGTTGGACTACATTGGTTCTACCAGGACCGGATATGTCGAATAGATCATTATATTCAGCTAATAATTGATCTATTTGTTGTTGTTGTTTTTCAGCATCCGGAGGATAATCAATGGTTGGAGGAATAGATGATAGATATTCTTCTTCATTTAGGAGTCCTTCAAAACAACAAAAAATGAGGAGTGGTTAGTGGGCCATGAGTAAACTTGTTACTCTCTTCTATGTATGAAAACTATGACTGCTCTACCCTGTGCAGCATCATGAACCAAAAAAGTCCACTCTAGCCATACACTCTAGCGTCTTCCCCAAAAAACTATGTTACAACTAATATTACTTATGTCTACTCTACCCTATATACACACTACTCTATGTCCCCAACGCCCGAGTCACAAAGTCGTTACCTGGTTGAGCGCTTGCTGCAAGCAATGCGACAAGAGACGTCTTTCTTTCCTCTAAGGAAATCTCCTGTTGCTCCAGCTTCTCTCTCTCCCCTGCATACCTTTCCCCTGCACCCTCCCTCAGCGCCTCCAACCTGTCCAGTTTAGCGTTAGCTCGATCCAACTCGCTTTGCATGTGCGCGGCATCCATGTTTGAAGTGAAGTGTTGTAGCAAGATGTGCCTGATATACGAACGCTGATCAGTGGTTAATCAATGACGTATTACTAGGAACTTTCTAGACCTTTCACAATGTAACTATTGTTCCCCTGCATGCATAATGTGACCAATGATAATCAATGCGCAGTTGTTGTAAAAATCGTATACCGATACTATAAAATAACTTACATTTCGAATAAACACTCTAAACGCAATAAATATTGTAAAAAATAAAATATAAGCGCAAGTCGTGTTATTTTATAATGAGCTCATCAGGTGCCGATCAGATTGTGTGTAATATTAAAAATACGTTACGGTTACAGATTTGAAACAGTTGATTCATCGATCAAACAGTCTGATATTTGATGCAAATGAACAAAGGCATCATCGTTTGGATTGGCTTGCTGGTAAGAATAGAAGTCGGATGAATATGTCCTCATTGTTGACAAAGAACCCATGTCCTAGATTTGACGTCTTTATTAATAATAGCAAGATTGTTTTAAGTTTCTATTTTTCGTTTCTTTCTTGGTTCATTATAAGTTGGTGGTAATGTTCGTTTATTAGTTATGATTTTTCGTTCCTCTTGGTAAATTTCATAAGTGATTTTTTCTTGATCTAGATATTCCTGGAGAGTTTGGGTATCATTGATTTTAAAAACATATGGAGCAATTTTTTCTCCTTGAGCTTTCTTTAGAATACTTCGAATAGTGCTGTAATTCTTGGGTTCCATAGTGGATTTAATGTAAATTAGTTTCATATTTATATTTTTTATATAGAGATAATCCTATATTCATCATGTTATGGTTTATATTCCTCACATTCTGGTATGATAAAGGGAACATTAAAGTTAACAAGTCCATAAGTTATGAATGAACACCATTATTATTATTATATTACTTTTCAAAACGTCATCATTCACCCTGGTCAATTTTACAGCCACATCATAATTAGCCTCACATAATAAAATGTTCACTTTGTCTGGTTTTGTTGCAGCATGCCCCATATAATATAATTTTAGATATTTTTTTTAGTTTATTTAGATTCAAGCTTATTTATTATTTCTTTATTTATTTTATTATTAAAAAATTTCTTTTATAATTTATTCATATAAAATTAATTGAAAAATTCTGTATATTAATTTAGCTAAATATTAAGATTAACTCTTAAAAAAACTTTATTAAATTTTTAGAGTATTCATATTAGAAATATAAAAAGATCAAATAATAATAATTATACTTCAAAATATTATAATTATACAATTAACTCTTTACTTTTTAATTAAATATATTTGAGATTTTGCCAAAGTTCAAAAAAATAAAAGTTACTTTATGAAATTCATTATTTTTTAAAAAATTAATAAAATTAATAAAATAAATTATTTTAAATAAATTAATTATATAAATTATTATAAAAAATTCTTACTTCTATATTATAAATGAATATAATATAAATTTTTTAAATATTAATTGAAAATATAAATAACTAAAATCTTGAAAGTATTTATTTTAAGTAATATTATAAAATTTTAAAACAAATTGATAATTAATTATCAACTGATAATTAATTAGAAAAAATTGATAATAATCAATTTTTTTATTGCTAATCAAAATTGATTACTATTAATATTAATAATAAATATTAATTAATACTAATTTAATTATTAATTATTAAATTAGTTTATAAACTTGAAACTAAATTGGGAAAGAGAATTAAACAATAAACAAAATATTAAAAAAAAGATATATATTTAAGTTTTCTATGAAAATTGTAATAATTTAAAGATATAATAATAATATAGAAGAGTTATGAAAAAGTAAAAATAAAAAAAAAGAGGAGAAAAATATAAAATATAGTCAAATCTCTCTATAGTTATCACTTTTAGAAAAGCAAAATTGAGTGACTATAAAGAAAATATGACTATAGAGAAATTTTTTTATTATATTTATATATAAATGAAAAAGCAAAATAAAGTGACTATAAAGAGATGTGACTATAAATAAGTATAATTATAGAGAAGTTTAACTATATTTATATTTTTATATAAAAATAAATTATCTTTAAATACTTGATCTAACTTGATTTAAAAGTTTCAAAAATCTATTAAAGCATGAAAAATATACTAGTAAAAATTTTCTTTTGTTATATAAATAACTTGAAAAGTTATTATATTACTATATAATTAAAATATTATATAAATATACAATATATTAATCAATTATATTCAATTTGATAATCAAAATTAGTAATTAATTTTTATTATACTAATATTAATAAAAAAAAATGATATAGTGTCAGAAATTTATAATTATCAATCACGTAATAAAAAATAAGAATCTTTAAAATATTACTTTATTTTATACAGAGATAATTTCAAAAAAAATAAACTAATAACTTTATAATTCGAAATACACTCTATAAAGTAATTAGTTTATTTTTTTGAAATTATCTTTATATAAAATTAAGTCGTGTTTCAAAGATTTTTATTTTTTATCACGTGATTGATAATTATAAATTTCTAGTATCATAATATGAAATTAAATGATATATTTTATTCAAATATTTAAATTATACTTTAAGTATTCCTAAATTGAATTACATATTTTTTATTTTTATAACTTGTTTGAATATATTTCTTCAAAGTAATAAAATGCTTGAAATAAATTATATTATTTGTATATATTTTTTTAATATAAAAATATCCAAAGAGAATTATTCTTTTACAATATGTATAATTTTTTTATTTGTTAATACACTTTTTACTTGTTATATAATCAAATAATAATTATTAGTTTATTCATGTTCTAGCTATTGGTAATTGCTAGTAAAGAAAATTTCAGATAAAATAAACTAACTCATTTACTAAATTCATATAGATATTTGATATATATATAATAAAAATTGTTATTTGCTTATATTCCTGATCCCAGTATATTTTTAGCATCAAGTTGATGACAAATTATATAAAATATCAAATAAACCACAAAAATTAAAAGTTCAAATTTTTAATCTATTTGTAACCATAATTTTAGAACAAATTATTATCAAATAAGAAGTGTAATTGTATTTTGAATTGAAAATAAATTGTTTTTTATAAATTCAAAAAAAAGATCAATGAATAATTAATATAAACTTGGCTCTTAATTTTCATAAATACACCCGTAAAGAGAGAAAATTATCTACATTAAAGATGCTTTAAATAAAATTCAAAAGTATAACATTAGATTTTTTATTTCTTTAATGAAAATATTATATATTAACTTGTTAATATATATTAAATAAAAATCTCTTGGTACATATTTATTTATAAAACATATTTTGAAAAAGTTCAATTCATATAAAACTAAAAAAAAATGTAAATTGCATAATGTTTATAAAAACTAATTTATTTTTCTCTAAATAAAATTCAGCAAACTAAAAAACGAATCTACAGAATTTTGTTCCAACCATATCAGCATTATTACAAAGAGATGATTAAACAATTAATTTGAATGTTAGAACTTATTACATTGTTAGTATTAATGGAATTCAGTTCTAAATTGATATTCAGATTGACAAAATTCCATTGATATATTTTTACTTTGTATATCTGATTTATAGTTAATTTTCATTACATATCAATTATTTGGTTCTTTATGCAAATTATATAGAACACAAATTTCGTTTTATTACCAAAACAACCAACTTATAGCGATGATACTAATGATCATAATGGTGATAAAATAGGTTGACTCTGCTGTTGGTTATTCAATGTTTGATCAGCAGAAGGGGTTTGAGTATCCGACGACGATGATGAAGGAGATGGTGATTCTATTTTAAATCCAATACGCTGGACTAGTCTTCCATCTCGTTCACGTATGTAAACTTTCTTTTCCTATAAAGAATATCAAATAAATAATAGAGCTGAAAACAAAAAGAACTAAAGAATAAAAAAAATCACCTTATCAGAAATATCAGTAAACACAAATCTAAATCTTTTGTTTCCTTCCGATTTTTCTTTACTAATCAAAATGACTTCTTCCTTTTTCTTTTCCTCGTCAAGCACAAATTTTTTTGATTCTTCCTCGAGTACTCGCTGTTGTATTTCCTCGAATGGTAGTCGACCTAGCTTTTTAGCTGCTGCCTATTACAACAATTATCAATAGCAATGAAAAAGAATCAATCCTAGCGGAAAATTATTCAAGGTACACAGATAATAATAATTATAATCGATAAATATCAAAGCACCTTGGGAGTAAATTCCTCATCTTCGTCAACGAGCTCGAAAAGGGGTCGATTGACTCGTGGTAAAATCACATGTAATGGTTCGTTGATTCGTTTGTCTGGCTTTACACCAAGCATCGCTTCCATATTCTTACAAAAATCTGTTTGCAACGGTTTTCCCTATGTAAAATAAATTAAAACTAAGCAAAAAGAAAGAAAAGAAAATTTTTGAGGCAAAGCGTGAAAAATCAATTATCAATAAGTAAGTAGGAAATTGGTTAAATTTTTAGACACTCAATTTTATATTTGCGAAAATTTGAACCATGTATGCGTCTTAAAGACTAATCGTTTATCATCATCGCGTCTTGAGAAATAATTTAGCATATAAAAAGACTATAAATTAATACATTTAAGGAAGATTTAAAAAATACCTTTGCTTGCATTTTCTTTTCTAAATGTTTTAATCTTAATATAGCCTCGACTCTTTTTATTGATATGGAATAAGTATGACCAATTTGTCTGGGTGATAGCCCTTGTTCCGTGAATAATTCATATATCTTATCTTTAAATGAATTATGTAATGGTGGTTCCGGTTTGAATAGAGGATTCATGGGAAACGGCTAGCAAGTGAAAAAAAAGCTTTATCAATTCAAGCTCCATAAAACTATAAAATCCGTAAAATGTTCAGTCTTCGTACAGTTTCTCCATAGTAATGAGTTCCGTCCATTCTCGGTAATCTAAAGTCGTTCCCACCCTCCTGAGTCAACCATTTATGCAGTTTCGCTCCGCCCTTTATCTTTTTCTTCTTTATGATCTTGGGACTACTTTCCAGAGTTACTTGGTCGGAGGCAGGCTTTGCCTCCTCCTTTTTTAACCTTTTTTCTGTAGGTGTGAGACTGAACACAGGGAATGTCGAGTGGTATGTTCGAATAGCCCTGTTTAAAAAAATCAAATGTTTATTTCGATATTTTAGTAGACCGTGAGTATGGTTATTGGCTCGGCAAAGAGTATTACACATTCTCGTAGACGACAAATTTTTGTATGATTATCGATACTTTTATTTATATTCGACCAATCAGCACATTTCTCGTTAAACTATTGTCTATAGCGATTGATAATCGATCAACTTAGTTATGTATAGCGGTTTTTTATAATGTAGCTTCAAATTTATTCAGGGTGACTTTTGTAAAAGTTGTTTTATTTGATTTATAAAATGTCTGACGGCGAAGAAACATACGGTGACGATGAGTATGTATTCAATAGTTTGCCTTTTACTTACCATTTTTAAAAAAGAAAGAAAATTAACAAATATCCACAATTCACATTTAGTTACGTGGGAAATGAAGATGAAATGTACTTGGATGTGAGTTTCTTGGACAAAATTTTTCTAATTTTTTTCACGTAGCGAATCTCTCATGATATTGACGAAAGTGCTTCAAATACACAGGAAGAGGACAATCATTATGAGGACGAGGTTGATCTGGACGGAGATTTATCAGGAGTTATAGGGATGGAGGGTACCCAGGATGTTGATGGTATAGGAAGAGGTGGACTGGGTGGTGAAGGAGACACGATAGTGCAAATTTTGACGAATGGGGTGGAGAGTATAAATGAGAATAAAATCCAAGCTATGCCTGAGAAGCCAAGAGAAAAAGTAACAACGCCTTATATGACTAAATATGAAAGGGCAAGAATTTTGGGTACTCGAGCTTTACAAATCAGGTGAGATTATTGGAATTTCTATTGTAAACTATAATCGTCTATTATGTTTTATTAGGATATCTAGCATTTATTTTCATTCTCTATTGGCATATGTTCAGCATGAATGCGCCAATTCTGATAGATCGTGGTAACGAGACAGATCCTTTAGCCATAGCAAGAAAGGAACTCCGCGAAAAAAAAATCCCTCTTATGGTGCGAAGGTACCTTCCAGATGGCAGCTACGAGGACTGGCACGTCAAAGATCTAATCGCCGGATATGACGAGCCGACTGGTGAAGAGAGGCGCATTCAGATCGAGAACGAAAAAGAAGATGAAATGCAATGAATGAAATTAATAATCCTCTCTTTCCTCCCTCAAAAATTAAGCGGAATCAATGCACATGAAAATCGTTATCGTTTTTACTTCAGAATTGGATTAGTTAGCAACATCATGAACAATTAAGTAATATATATTTTTCTTTTCACTATGTATCCAGTCATTTTTTCGTTGCGATTCCAGTAATTTGTCTGACAGGTATATCGTTTATTATTATTTATGTCTTTGAAGTATCAGGGTAAGTGGAATCCATCAAGTCGTCGAATTTATCTGTTTATTTTTTAAATTCGCGTAGCAATTATTATTGATCATATAGTATTTAACGGGTAATGAAATTGCGCATAAAAATAGAATAAAAAAGAAGCTTTAACCTTATTGTAATTCCGGGGCATTAAATATTTATGATTATAAAATTTATTTACCAAAAATTTTGGTAGGGTGTTAAATAAAATTATTTTAGAAAATTTGGATCGTGATTCTACTGAAGTGGGACTTGGCATTTGCACCAATTTTGAGCTTAAAGAATGGGAGGGGGTAGCTTTATTTTCGGATATATAGCATATCACGAGTCGCCATTAAAATGTTTTGTTATGAATAGCATCCAATGCAAAAATTATATGAACTTAAAAGGAACGCATATTGCAATTCCGTGAATTGGGTCTTAAATATCGACCTCATTGTCTTTAATCACATTGATATGCTAATTTTACGTTTCACCTTTCATGTGTTCTTAAAAATCATTATGATATATTACATGTATCCTCAAACTTAAATTCATTTGATTTCTGTTCTATTAGAATGGTTTTACTCGATTTAAGATGATATTAATCAAATCTTTAAGTGCAGGAATTCTAGCACATCATCACCGATATTGAAATCCACAACACGTTGGTTTTGATAAGATATCATAAATGCAAGGAACGACAATCGGTACATTTCTGTTATGATTCTGCTTTCTTATGACAGAAGAAAAACTTGGACGTCGTGGATTGAAAATAAGGACCAGCTATAAATTCCGGTTAAATCACTCAAAATCACAAAGAAAACCATACTCATCGTATCGCAGCTTGGAAAGCCAGTCATCTCCAGCTAAACGTAGCACATGCATACTATGAAAATGTAAAAATACTGCATCAGAACTTTGGTTTAACGATATCATATGTCTTGGGCAAAATCCATCCTCGATTTTAATTAAAACCCACAGTAAAAAACATTATTAGAATGAAATAACCGGTCGGCTGAGATGAATAATATGCTGAGGTAATGTTGCAAATGTTTTAAATCAAGTACATCATGTTCGACTAGTCCGGCAATACAATCATTTTTAGGAAATTTCATTTTATTTTAAATTCGAGTAGCTATCCATATTGCTGCTTTGCATCCATTATTGATTATAGCAGTCAGTGGGCCATGAAATGGGGCCTAAAAGGAATACAATTTAAAACGGAAGATTTATAATATGTATCTTGATAAATTCATTATTGTACCTTTTGAGCGTCATGATCAACTGCGGTATCAAGATGATGTAATTCATCGTCGCGAAATTTTTTGATTACCTTTTGGGAAAGAGATCATTAAAAATGGATATCATTAGATCATTTCTATGAATAATTAATACCTGAGTCAATTCCGTGATTTCTTCATTGTTTTCAAACTTTATCAATTCCCTCAATTGGCTAAAAACAAAGTATCAATTAGTATTAGAAAAATAGATAAATTACTAAAAAACATAAGCTATAAAAATATCACTCATTATAATGCTCTCCGATGGTCGTTTCGACAGCCTCAGTACAAGCCATTGCAGCTTCTTTGCCTAGCAATGCGGTCCCTGCACCTAAAAGAAAACCAGTCGTTTCCCAAATAGGACGTAAGAAAGTTGGTCTGACTCTATGCCGTGAAATAATTTCATCGAATGTGGATAAGTGATATTTTTCCTGATCCCACATTTCCTAATTATTTAAATTTTGAAAAAAGAGTCACCTTTAATAACCAACGATTCCAGGAAAATTCATACTTTAATTTTGATTTCGTATAATTATTCAATATAGTAATGGTAATGGTACACGCGCACACACACCTGGATCACAGGTCCCACAACTTTATCTTTTCCCAACACCGCCATCTGTCCTCTGTAAATCCAATCTGCGCCAATCTCACCAGCATGGTCGACTCTAATCATTGAACTAATTATCGATTTTTCATGCTCTGTTAGTGGTCTCGACTTTTTTCGAGTTTTATTATCATCAGGATTATTGTCATTAGATGATCCTGCTGCAGTATGTTGACTGCGCCATGACAAATTATCATTTAATTTTCCAGTAAATATATGATTATGATGCGCTACAAACAAATAACGAAGATTTTTGGGTTTACTAGAGCGGAGTAAAAGATGCATTTTCAAATAGATTATGAGAAACTTTTCAAAATGCGTATTTTATTATGAAGATCTTTTAATTTGGTGCATTGATCGGAATCACCATTTTTATCGTTATCGTTATATTCGAATTCTTTTTTTGGAAGAATGTAGCAGTCGTGAAATAAGCCGCAACAACTTTCATTCTGCCAAGAAAGAAATGTTTACAGCTCTCAGATGATCCTCTGCCATTTATCTTCATTCAACAAATATATTAATCTAATGTGCCATGGAAACCACAAAGTCAGTCTATTCGTTACTTTGCAGTATATAGGTTGTTTACACATATTCGTAATGATGGAGAGTTGTAAAGTTAGCCGAATGACCATGTTAGTCATGTGATTTTTGGAAGTTCGAGAAATTGTGGGACTGATATTTATTTCGTGGGAAATAATAATAAAGCAATACCATCAAAGGCCATAAATATTGAAAAATATGAAGTCTAAATGTTTGGTAGATAGGTTAAAATGGACTTTTGAAGGGAATATGACACCACATGCGTACGCATTTGGGGATGTGGATAATGACGAGGTGAGCTGGCCACTTTCTCGTCGTCATTGATACAAGCCTATCTCGTTAAAAGTGTTTCAGTATTTAATGATGCAAATATCCTTTTCAAACATGATGTATTAAAAGGATAACGAATTTGTCATTGGAAACCTTAAAGGCGAGATAGCCCTTTTCAAAGGTATTTCGGTCGGTGGACAACCTGCCATGACCTGTAAAAATTTAGGAACTGTAGGTAATTATTCATTCTCGGAATTCGATAAATTGGTTTTAATTCCAGATTGACTTGAAATTGTATGGATGTGCATACGCGCAAAGAAATCAAAGTAAAAGAATCATCTTTTTTTTAGATCACTTGTGTTGCTGTCGGTGATATACGAAATTCCGGAAAGGTAATTTACGGCTAGGAGAGATCGACAAACTATCTGCATTCAATATAAACTAAAACGCATTAATACACGATAGAATTCGATCGTGTGTGTAAATGCTGAAGGAAAATGCCATATATTCGATATTGCTGTTGGATCACCGAATCCTACCTCACCTATCGGCGATGAAAGCGCGTCACCCCCAATGCGACCCATTATTAACGATAAATCTCATGAAATTGAGAAACCAAACTTGACGCTGGGTGTTCCGGTGAATTGTAATCGTATTTTGATTGCAGATATCGGTAGGTAACGATTTGCAACTTCTTTTTCCAAACAAATGCATTCTTTTAAAAGGATTATACCACACGAAATCCATTACTATATCATTATCACCAACTGTAGACGGAGATGGTCAAAATGAGATTATACTCGCGCGTACTGATCGTGTTCTTCATATATTTAATTTACAAACGTCGTTATCATCGATGGATAGCAGTAGTACTAGTAGCGGCAGTAATAGTATTAAATCCCCATTAAAGGTATCTGATTACGCGACAGAAGTAATTGGCGGAGTACCGTCTAAAAAAGAAAAAAGTAATAGTGCTTCGTCATTACCTTATCTGCTGGAAAAGAAAGAATGGCTATTCGAACGGCAGGTAATTCAACTGTTTTCTTACTTCTCTCGTAAATTGCCATAGACTCGAGGCCTTTTATTTAATATTTTGAACTCGTAAAGATCACCTCTCTACTTTCGGCCACCGATCCAAATACCGGAGCACCTTTATTACTAGTAGGCCAACCTGGTGGTCATTTTGTGATTATAGAGAAGAACGCCAAGCACACTTCATCAGCTATTTCTCATGAGATCAATTTATTGGAAGAAGTAAATGAGGTATCGACTGAACTTGTCAAAGGGATTAAATGGAGAGATGGTAGGAACCTTATGAAGATGCATATTTGTGTATTTTACTAATAAAATAATAATTCAGAATTTGCTAAATAGGTAAAAGCGCCGAGGTTATAGCAATCATTACTATGGACGGTAAATACGATATTCTAATTTTAATATTTTTTTTCAATTTGATGTCTCACGGGTAGTCATATATCTTTCAGGATTATTCAAATGTTACGACTTACAATCCGGTCAAATGTCCAAACACGAACTCAAAGTAAACCACAAACTATTCGGTTTATCCGCGTTGAATCTCGATGGTGTAATCGACAACACACAAACCGGCAAAATTTACACCAACCAAAAACCTAACGTCGAACAAAGCGATGACGCGTTTGTTACATGCGCGTGGAACGGAAGCACGTACGTGATTGATCACGAATTCAATGTGGTAAATTTCGAGTTTGAGAGTAGAGTGTGTGCGTTTGCTGCTGGTTTGTGTTTTTTTTTTGTTTTAAGAATCTCGGTATTGGTTTTTTTGTTTTTTTTTCTTGTAACTGATTTGAATCAAACATGTAATAATAGGAAAATATGCAATCACTCCCGGATACAATGTGCCTTGTTTTATGTACGTGGATTTTGAAGATAATATTTATGTGTATTTTAATATACAGATAAATACTAAACCAATGCTGAATTTTGGGGAAGTGATGCGTGATGTGGATATCAACAAGGTTTGTCTCTATTCTGAAATGCAAATTTCGTCTATATGTAGCCTTACAGATACATGTTCATTCAAAAATAAAAATTTCAAACAGTATGAAGAATTACTAAAATTTTATTATAAAGAATACGAACAAGGTAATCTTTTAATATTACTTATTTTCCTTAATAACAAATTTCATGACTAGTTTGTATGTGATCTTTTTATTGTTCATATCAGAAATCGAAGCGTTTTCGCCGAACAACCCACCTTATCAACCAACACCAAAGCTTACATCTTTTTTCAATCAATGTCTCTACAAATTGGATGGCTATAGAAAATTGAAGGCGAAAATGGAGAGAGAAATTCAAGATTCGGTAGGTGTATCATCAGTTTGATCTGTTCGTTGTTTTAAATTGTTTTGGTTAATGATGATAATGAATAGATCGAGAGGAAAAAAGTAATCGAAGAGAAAGAAATAGCAGAAGTAAATCGGAGAAAAGAAATCGAAGAAAAAGAAATCGTAGCGGAAATAAATCGGAAAAAAGAGGAAGACGAGGAAGGGGAGCAAGAAGAGACAGCAGAATTCGCACAAAATGATATTAATAGTAGTAGCACACAAGAAAATAAAGAAAGCTCGTCTTCAAATGAAAATGGTAATTCTGTTGATGAACTCTCTCCTACCATCCATAATGAAAATGACGAAGACAGTAATCATAAAAATCCTGATAATAACTATGTCGAAGAAACACACGACAATAACAATGAGGATAATAACGAGGATGATAACGATGATGTGATAAAAATGGATAACGATGATGTGCTGACTTTTTCTTCGTCATTGTATACAATAGAGGAAGAGAAAGAAGGGGAAGAAGAGGAGCAGAAAATAGAGGGTAAAGAAAAAGAAGAGAAAAAGGAGGAAGAGGGGATGCCAATATCGGGCGACCAATCAAAAGAACTTCAAGAACGACGCGATTCAGGTTTCATTCATTCACGGGATAATTCCATACAAATGTTGGTCAAAAAATCAAATAATTTAGCTGATAATTGTCACAATAAATCTCAAGTATCAAAAGCAGACCAGCAGCAGCTACAACAAAAAACTGATGAAATAAATCAAGAGATAAATGGTGGTAATAGTGATATAGCTACTGTAATAGATCAACCATCGTTGTCGATGCAAACATGAAAATGTTGACGAAATTTCTTTTTTTCATGAGATTGTATCTTTATTTATTTATTATATATTACAAGTAGGGAGGGAGGGGGGGGATGATAAGAGGGGGATATACAGTGGGTGGTGAGTGATTACTATATATACAGCAAGAATTTATGTAATAATAGATATACATAAAAGAATCCCTTGCAAGGAATTATAATGTATTATTATTATTATCATCATACCAATACAACGGAATTGTTCATTTTAGACTAGTATGAAAAAGGTTCCTATTTTAGGATAGGATTATCTCGAAGAAATATATGTATTATATCAGAGTTAACATACAAAAGATTTTTGGAGGGATAATTAGAAAAAAATTGCTAATGAGATTTTTATAATAGTATAAACTATGATGCAACATAAATCCACCAATTCAAACCATAATTGGGTCCTCCTCATCATCTCCGTAAAATACCGGGGAGTATCCATCAACAAATCCAAGATCAACCCAATAGTCTGCCATAATTTCGTCATCATGTTCATTATCCAGGTCACCAGTCAACACTGGATAAAATATTTTGATTTCGCCGAAATCGCTTAGGAATGGTGCAGAAGGAATCGGATATGCTTCTCGAATCTCACCACCTCCTATAGATGTATTCAAGCCATTATTATTCTTGTTGCCGTTGATGATGGTGGTTGTGCCGTTATTGATATTATTATTCGTGAATTTGGCTTCATCCACATTTTTTCGATCATAAATTGGTAATATAGCATCTGGCTCATTATTAACAATCATGTCGTCTTCAGCGAGATCCAAAGCAGCATTAGCAGCATCCATTATTTCATCGAACAATTCATAGGAAATAAGATTACTACCACCGCCACTATCGCCACCAAGAAGACTTGAGATTTCAGCACGAAGTTGTTCGTCACCCAAGTTCTCCGCATCAATCATCACTAAAATCCTGGATGCAATTACAGACAGTTTATTTAACGGAAACGAGTCAACAAGATAAGAATTATTTCCATCCTTTTTTTTGAGTTTTCGTAAATTCTTCGCAAGAATATCAAGAAATGCCTTGGTGGCTGTTGTTAAGGCCTCTGATAAATTAAGAGTATTTTTGTTGTTACTATTATAGTAAGAAGTATTGTAATTTGTCGTTCGTGATGCCATTTCATTGATTAAAGGTGGAGAGCATGACATAGAGTTTGAAGGACGACGAAGGCGTTGCTGTGGACGCGTGAACACAGGTACTTGATTCGCAAAGATTCTGCAACAATTACATAAAACGAGTTAGTCTAAAGTTTTCGAACTATAATGATATCTTCCCAAAGCCTTACTATCAAGTAGAATTTCTAAATTTCCTGCTCCCATAAAAAAATAGAATATTACCAAATAAATACCAACTTTGGTTCAATATACCCAATGCAAGAGTCCAGTGCTTTATTGTGTTTATCCGTAGCGGCCAAACTACCGGAAAGGTGTCTCTTTGGTGTCTCCATGTGAGTATATATATAGGAACAAAAGATATAGCAATTATAGAGTGATATGATGCAGATTTTAGAACGCGGTTTATTGATTGATTAAATAGTCGATCTTGCATAATAAAAACAGCATTGTGTGAAATAGGTCACGTGAAAGTGTTTTCTACGTATAGTATTGATTCATCGATCATCTGACATAGTATCAATAATACTAACTTGGGATCAATGTGATCGACCAGAGACTGAAGTTTGTACTTTTCACTAGACAAATTTGGTTCATCTTCTCCACAATTTTTATTTGTAAATGATAAATTGTCATGAAAATTACGCTATAAGTAAATTAAGTTACACGTGACGCGGAAGCAAGATTGATGAATTAAAAGTAATAAAGAAATTTAAATCAATTTGTCATTCCCGTTTGGATTTTTCTTGAGATTTAGAAGAAAAGTACTAAACCATTTTATGAATCATAAAGAAAAAATTAGCCACGGTAAGATAATCAATATGATCATCTTTAACCACATAGCAACAAGCCATACCTTTTGCCTAAACAGATAATGCCCGGGTTTTCGTTGATCATCATCTTGATCAATATAATCACCATTGTTATTAGTGTTAATCAATTTAGAGCCATTCGAATTTCGAGTTTCACCAACGCCGATACCAGCGCCTGTCTGATAAATGCTTTCTAATCCTTTGTAGTCTTTGTTGACTGTTGCATGATAAATACCCGTCACATTTTCTCTGTATTTTTCCATTGTGATTAATCGACGACTCCAGACGCCAAAGGTTTGTTCGCTGTTGGATATCAATCTCATGGAAGGGTGCTTTGGAATGTCTTCATTCGTATATCTAAATATAAATTTCAAAACATCATATGAATCAGACACAACTAAGAAAAGATAATGTAGAGCACTGCTTAAAATACCCGGGTCTTATTCACAAATCCAATAATTGGAGAAGGGGGTACTTTAAGAAGGGATACTTTGAATGAGGTATTTTAAGCAGTATAAAGTGGATTTAATATGAATATAAAAAAAAATTGAACTAACTCTTCGACAACGGTCGGTAGCCAGTACACAAGCCGTCCACCAACTACCAAGAATCGCGCGGCAAATTCTAAAAGATCTACAAGAACTTCGGACATTTCGTAAGGTTTTGTAGGCGGGTAGTAATTCCCGCGTCTTTTTACATTTTTAAAGCGTTAATCAAAACATAAACAAATCGAAGTACTAATAAATAGATAGGGCGTGATACTAAAAAAAATCAAAGATATCTTTATTTACTCATGAGCTGGTAACTCGTTTGTCGTTTTTGGCTTTGTCGATTTCTTTTCATGTCTACGACCAAGAGTTTTTGCTCCTGCTCGTACACCATATGGAGCTATATATGTATTTGAATTTGAGTTAGCTATCATTTCAATTTCTCAGTAAATTCTGGACACAACAAATATAAACTAAATAAATAAATAGAGATTTACGATCAGTAATGATAGCATCAAACCATAAATTCTCGCGCCATGGATGATGGCAAATATCAAAGACCAAATTATCCAATACTCTGCCGTGAACATTATACTGTTGTGCATTTGTCTTTATCGACTTGTTTCCTATATAATGATTTTTTCAAATTTGATTCGAAACTTAAAAATTAACAATGTATGCAAATTAATCCAATCTCACCTTGTCCGCGAATCTGTCTTCCGTCAATATCCGAGCCCAAAGTATAAGCACCAAATTGCGCGCATGTAACAAGGAAACTGCCTGTACCCACAAAAGGATCATAAACAAGTTTACCAGGAGCTGCCTGTTATGACGTGTATTAATATATATTTCTGGCAATTCGATAGAAAAATTGACAATCTTATGAATACATACAAGTGCCTGATTCGCCATTATTAGCGACAATTCAGCATCCATCGTGGTATTCCCAATATAATTTCGTTTTTTAACATTATACGTCTGTATTAAATCTCTATCTCCGGATGCAATCTTTTATGCAGAATAAGCTATATGGTTAGACGGATAAAGCGAAAAAAAAGCATCCCTATATATTATACCAAAAAAATTTAATAAAAAATACCATACAAATCTGCCAAAATAAATTGCACAAGGATAATCCGGTGGCAGTGGTGCATTGAGTTCTATTCCGTAATCTTCCATCACCGAAAATAATACCTGCGGGTTCTTCAAGTCGATGGGACCCTTGAATCCCAAGTACGAAAAAGAATTGATGACACGTAGCTGGTATTCGGCTGAACATGTCGATCCAAAAGCTTTCACTATAAATTTAAAAGTCTGATTCGAATCTGTGACCTTTGAACGTTAAGTCAAATTTCAGTCAATTCTATTCATACACATGAAATTAAGAATAATCGAAAGTTTGGATTTTATTAAATGATGCTTGCCCATCGTTCAGGATTTTTCTTTACTTGAGCGTGAACTTGATCATATGTTTCACCTGACCCCCATAATTCATAAATATTTCTAAAATCAAATCAAAAAACCCGAATTTATTTATTTAAACGAACATGTGTAAATTGACGCGTATCTTTAATTATAAGTATAAAAAACGACGACGCACTTTATTAGAATAGCACGCTTAACCAAGCAAGTAGCTGCTTCGTCCGAAGCAACTTCAACAATAAAAAAAGGGGACTAAAAAGAATTCTGTAGACTTTGTAAATGACATTTATAAAAGTGGAACAAGCCAACTCAACAAGCAAAATAGATAGACATACATACATCCTTTTTGTAATCTTGTATATTGTATTTTAATGAAACATTGTATAGTTTCGCTAAGGAATCAAGTTCTGGTAAACGAAATTCTTCGTGTGCTTATTTAAGAAATATATGAATCCATGTAATTAAAAGTATTTAAAACAGGCTAATTAAAAAATTAAGTGTGGAAATTACATTGAGCAAATTGTATTAGATACTTGTTCATCGCAGACATGCAAGTATTCAAGTAGATCAAAAAATAAAAAATTATATGCCCGCAGTACATACACGCGACAAACCCATTTGGTATAAGACTAGAACATTATAATTTAGATCATAGTGTAACGACAGCAGACAATACCGATACTGTCTTTACCATTAATCTCGTAAATCCTCTACATAAACTCATAATTCCGCCCAAAATCACTGATTCCCACTCTCAGATCTATATATAATTCGACGATGATCCTCGGGAAAGCAAAATTTGGTGACTATAGAGAGAATGTGACTATAGAGGGGGTTTTTTTATATGTAAATGGGAAAACAAGATAGAGTGACTATAAAGGGATGTGACTGTAAATGGGCATGACTATAGAGAGGTTTGACTGTAAACTAATTTGATCAATTTAATATTAATATGTATGTTCAAATATCTTTTTCTTAAAATTGATCTTTTTAACTTCCAGTTAATTAAATATTTGCAAAATATATTTTACTTGTTACTCAGAAATAAGTTAAAATAATTTTGTCACAATATCACCATTTGCCAAAATATTCTTTTATCTTACAGTTCCCAGCATAAGTAACTGACCCCGGATAACTTTCCGAAAATTATGTGTAATGTTCTGAAATGTTCTGAAATTTTCTGAGCTCAAAGAACATCACAAACGCTGACTTTTTATAGATTGATAGAACTTCTATATCGGGTATTGTATGTTCATAAACTCTCGCATCCCAAATATAATCAGTCATTTCATAACACACATCTCAATATCTAATAATCTAATTCTTGACATCCAGTGAT